ACTATTTAATTTGGTATGTGAATGTGTGTAAATTGGCAGTGAGATTTAAAAAATTGCACAAGGTGTGCCACTTGAAATTTTGCCTAAGGTGCCACATTAACTAAAGTCCGGTCCTGGTTGCAGCCCTCTTCAACAAAGTTTAAAATGACACTTACCAAGGCTGATGTGCAGATAAAGACGACCTTTCTTCAGCTCTAGTGTGAAGAGGTCCCCCTGAATCCCCTCACTGTGTAACAGCAGACCATCCTGCTCCAGGGTCTTAAAGTTTATGGCGATATGGTCATGCAGCGTGCGGAACCTTTTCTCTGGATATGTGTACACCACTGCATCGTCTCCGTTGTATTGTAGTACATAGGAATCTGGAAATGAGCAAGACAAAGTTCCGTACTGAATGCTTTTGGTGCATGTCTTCAGTAATAATTGTGTGACAATAAAGTCCGTCATCCATCACTCATACTTACCATAAGGGCAGCCAAAGAGCTCCAGTCTCACACCAATCTTTCCTCCATTCTCCGTGTTCCACGCCAGAGGCAGCAGACGAATGTGTTTCGCAGTYAAGGCATAATGGAAGACATTTCTCTTCACTTGATAATAATTCCAGTTTCCAGGCAGCGTCTGCAAACAGATGAGACAGGGGAGGCGTGGAAAATTATTGTTGCTGCACCGCCTTGTGAAGAAGCAGGAGATAAACTGATGATGAGATTAGTTTTGTCTCTGCTGAGAGAMATAATATGCTGTGCTGTCTTTGTTTTTCTGCCAGTGACACAAAACATAATGGAAACCCCCCAAATTTCTTAAATTAGCTCTAAAAAAATGGTGTTTGACTTGTTAATCCTCAGCTCTGTGCTCTCATTTGAGTATTTGGTTTTGTTACCGAATTTCCTCCTTTCATGATGTATGGAGTCCAGGAATCCGGTCTGTCTCCGTAGAGAAGTGTATACTTGGTGACCCAGTCGTATGAATTAAAAGTCCCTTGGGTTGCAATTGCCACCAGTCTGTACTTCCTGCCCAAATTGACRTGCAGCCATGGCTGTCTGTCACTGAGGGAAGGGGACCAGCCACTGCTGCCTGAGAGGGAAAAAAAGGGAGGGGGAAGGAAAATCTTTGATGATGACAAGATATCAGCAGGGTTTAGTTGCACTACCAAAACCTTAAAGATAAAATATAGATAACTACAAACTCACCATACAGTTTGGCAAAATTGGCAGAGTACAGAAAGTTATATCTGGAAGAGGCCCAGAAGGAGGAGGCATAGAGCCCAGTGACGAGCGGATCAACACACTCTCCTGCAAATCACAAAATGGATGACATCAAGGTCAGGACAGAAGAACTTCTCATTACGCAGCATTCAAATTTTTACACTTCTGGGCAAAAGCCCTGCCGAGCCTGACTCATCTGAGTGCTTGCCTGCGCTCTTTATAACAAAACCTCACATTAGGTTGGATCAATTCAATCCAAAGTAAAGCACCAACGCATTTAGCTCCGTTGCTGGAGGGATATAAGCAGGAAAGTCGATGATTTTACATCAGTGCAGGGGCGGAGCCAGGGGGTGGCCAGGGGTGGCCATGGCCACCACAGACAAATCTTTGGCCACCCCACTGGCCACCCTGCTGTACACACCCCTTCCACAGTGAAACAACCTTTAGGGGTGTAATAATCCTCCTGAACAATTGGTGGCAGTGTTGAACWGTTTGAACCATCACCAAGCTCAAAGAAGTGACAAAGAAGTGATTGTTTTRTTTATATAAAGAATWTATGCCTATGGAATCTGATTTATGGTGACAAATGTTTTTATTTTRATWTTTTATTTTTGTCACCATAACACAGTGTCATTTTATGTTATGAAYGCTGCYTGATGCTCTGTCCCTTTTGGTTATGAGTAGACCTATCTCTAAATCAGAAAAAAGCGAAATGTCCCTTTAAATTCACTGTTGGTGYMTATCAATATTGCACCTGTTCATTGGGTAAAATTATTAATATTAGTTTTAAACATGCAGTTGAAGGTCATCACTATTTGGCACAATGTTGTGTTAAAATTAAAAATAAATCAATAAACAATATAAAAGTATAAAGCACCCACATAGTCATTAGATATGATAAATTGTGTCACATTAATTAACCTTATCTCAGCTGTAGCAATGAGTTTAAAAACAGGATAATGAAACTAGTTAAATGAAGAATTTGTCTCTGAAATAATTATTAAATCAAGTTTATTTATGTAGGTAAAAMTATGTTWAARAWCCTGGTAAAATACACCAGAATGCWGGAAAMGGCATCTATTTRGTTCAAAATTTTCTGGGGAAGGACCCCCAGACCCCCCAACAGTGTGTCCCCCCACTTTTAAAATGGTTCTGACACCCATGTTTATAAGGTAGTCACTGCCTGCATGAGGACATAAAGAAATGACCAAAACACGAAGATCTGCAGAAAACTTTCAAGTAAAAAAATTATGTAATTTTCCTGGCCACCCCTGTGTGAGTAGTGGTCCCCATCTGGCCGTCCCTGAGAAAAATGTCTGGCTCCGCCACTGCATCAGTGCACATATCATCCTCAAACAGCATGTTTAAGATACAAAAAAACCTTCTTCAGATCTGACCTTAGATCTGTTTGGAGAGTGTCTCATTCTTTTCTATACAAACATCTACTGTTTGTTCACAGTATTGCTTAGACTGAAAGTGCAATGAAGTTACATAACTGTGAGTTTTTCAAAGACAAAAAGACATCTGATACTTTATTGGTTTTGCTTCAAGGTCAGTATAAGTCAGCACTTTATTGTTGTATTCTTACATTTTTCTTTACAATGCATGCATTTTTCCATATAAGAAATTTAAAGTTAAACCTAGTCTGTAGCTTTGATATGGTAGTTGTGTGTCTGCATGAGCCTGATAAAGCCGTCACCCGTCTGCTCCCACTCTCTCCGCAGCCCAATGCTAATAAAAGTGACCATAAATCTGCCTAATCATGCTTCTGTCACAGCGGAGAATAAATATGCCCTCACCTTCAGCTCCAGAAGAACCACTGTCACCTTTTTGGTGTCAAAATATGGTCTTTAATGCTCTAGTAAGATTTATTAAAGATGGACTAAAATACAAACAAAAAATGGTTTTATTTAAAAGAGAAAATAGCTAGTTCTTTTCTAAAAATCGAAAGAATTTTAATGTTTAAAAAGTAGCATCTGATTCATTTGTATAAACAATAATCAAGATTTTAATCTCAGCCAATCAATCTAATAATAAAAAATGACAAAGCAAATTGTTTTCATTCTTAAATATCAGCTGTGCATACAATAATACACACTGATTGATTATGTTTTTCATTTGGCATGACCTCTCTCACCCCCTGTGAGAGGACACTGCACATTCAGGTGGAAAGAAAAGTGCTGAGCAAGTGAAAAGTGATCTTTTTTTTCTTCCTCTGTCTCCTCTCTGATGACTCTTTCTGTTTTTATCAAACAGAAATCTCTGCTGTGATGCAAGTGATGAACAACAGCTCCATGCTCAGTCACTGCAGCAGTCCTTTAGTGCTGTTTGCTCACACGGAAAGCCACACAAACATACATTTGAAGGCTTTGTGGTCAAATTATGCGACAAAGCTTCTTAATGCTAATAGTTTGTGCATTGATGGACATGTCTGGCTTTTAATGTGAAGTGTTGCTCCATCTGCAGCCAGTTAACCGAGGCCACTCAGCTTTTTCCATCTCTTCTTTATTGCAACACAGTCTTCACACCCCACCCAGACAGAATCTCATTTCACTTCCTATAACCTGATATTTTGCTTTTTATCTCCATCGTGCTAAAAAAACAGTCAAGTCCTATTACCTCATACTCATTTATTATAATTTTGTTTCTTTCTTTTTCTCTGCCTTGCTGCTCCTCTCTTTTTCCAGGACGGTGTTATTGCAGGTCCCTATGAGTCTGTGCAGAGCAATCTCCAGATTTTCTCTCTTCACCATGTAATTCTGCGACTTCCTCTGCACCACGCAGCATCATTCTACATTTATCCTTTAAGGTTCTGTGGAGACCAGTTCCTGCTGAGTCATCAGCCTGCCTCTGGAGGCAGGCCGGTCCTGTCTGAGCTGACGCATCGTTTCTGCTGGTTGCATACATTATGCAGAGGGACAACCCTTAAAGTTGTCCCTTTGCAGAGGATCTGGCTTGCAACTCCTTTTCAGTAAAAACTTCAACCTCACAACAAAAACGCATGCATTTGATGTGAAACGGCACATTTAAAACATTTTCCATTGAAAGAGTTTGATTAAATAATTTATAGATGAGCAGCCAGCACAGTGGGGTGTGTCCAAACACTGTCTTGAACTATAACTATAACATTTACAGAATGTCAGAACCATATTCAGACTTTATTTAGGTATTGAAATAAAACTTCCATCTTGTCTGCAGCACATTGTCTGCTTTGTATCCTGTTACCTCATGCAAAAAGGAAAAACACATTTCCAATTCAAACGCACACACACAAATCTTTCAGAGAGTGTTAGTTAGCTCCACCCAAACAAAGGCAGTGCTCGGGGATCTATTGCTCCTTTTCAGTTTGGCACAAGCTCAGTGCAATCCCCAAACAACAAGCCTTTACACAGACCTCCAATCAGGTTCAAACAAGGTGCACAAACACCTTTCTTTCTTCTTCTAATGAGACAGCAATGAAGAAAGTCATAAACAATTTCATGGATCCTCCTGTAGTCAGCACGCAGCAAGACAGAAGCTAAGATCTATTTATAGACTATTTCGGCAATTGCATTAAAGAAGAGCTGCTGATATTGAATCAGCAGTGCACAATGAAATCTCAAGACCAGCACAAGACATCTCGGAGTGAAATGCGCTGCCCCAATGTCAGAAAGCTTGTTCTCTGTCACAGTTCATGGGCTTCAAATGGATAATGATGCAAAATACAGCTAAAACCATCCAAGAATGGCTAAAAACATTGAACTATTCTGGAGTGACCTTCCAAAATACCAAACCTCTGAGCTGAAACATGCAGACTGGAGAAGGAACCCTTCAAACAACTCGAGCAGTTTGGTCACAGTGGGACCAGAAAAATGTCCAAATAAGAAAGCTTGAAATTGCTTGATTGTATCGTCTTAAAACATTGTGTTGCAATAGTTTCTTTTTTTTAATTATGTTGAACCACAATTGAAAAGCAATGACTGATTTTTATTGGCTGATTTCTGATCTTTTTTAAAGAATAATATAACTTTTGTCAGTTTTAAATTATTTCAGTGATCTCTGTCTGGTTTTATTTCCTTTACAAAAGGTACAAACTAGGGCTGTCAAATGATTAATACTTTTAAGTAGCTGTGAATTAATCATGATTAATCTTAAATTTAATATATATTTCTATTGCATATTGATAAAATAAATTACTTATTAGTTTTTAATGTTTGTATTTAGAAAACAAAATTGATGCTTAGACATGATTTTTTGAATATAAAGCAGGACCTAAAATATGCTCAAAACACATTTGAGTCTGTGAAATTTTGTGCAGAATGATGGTTAAATCAAGAATTCAAGGATTTTCATTCCAAATGAGTACTACATGAGGGATGAAAGATAGATACTAAGGTCACAGTTGTCAGCAAAACATAAATAAATAAAATAAAATAAGCCATAAGAAGACAAAAAAAGAAAACTGTACATAATGTGTTACATGTGGAGTTTTTTATTTTATTTATTTAACCTTTGTTTATCCAGGTAAACTGTTTGAGAACCACTTCTCATTTACAAACATGACCTGGCATGAGTGCATTACAATATACAAACCTACATATTCAGCCACAGTAAAGTGATTGTAAATTTTAATCACGATTAAAAAGTTTTATCTATGCCCATGCAGCACGTAAATAAATCAGAGTTAACTCGATTAATTTCACAGCCCTAGATGCAGTAGTTATTGACTACATCTATTGCCTGTGATTTAGACCAGTGTTTCCCAAAGTTGGGGTCGGGACCCAAAGTGGGGTCCCGAAACATCAAGGTGGGGTCCTGAAAAGATTTTCTGAATTAATCACATTTTTGCCTTAGTTGTTACAAAGGAGTGTGAGGTTGGTATATTTAAAATGGATAAATGTAGTATAAAAAAATATTGTTTTGTTGACCTGATACAAATGTTTATCATCCAAAAATAGTTGGGGGCACAGGTCTAATAGTGTAATAAAATAATTTCTGATGTAATATTTTCCCTATAATTATTACAAAAACACAAAATAAGTAATAATAAGTATTTATATTTGAGTACAAGCTGTTTAGATTGTCAAAAAGCCTGTGTTTTTAGGGTTYTTAARGAAGRTCAAGTACTCAGACCAGTAATATTTGGGGTCACAAGTTTTTGCCATGGATATTTTGTGGGTCAGAAGACAAAAAGTTTGGGAACCACTGGTTTAGACCATCCCACCTTCCCTTCTTATCTTAAACCGTCCAAAACGTCACATGGCAGCCCAGCCCCCTAACGAGCCAGTGAAGGCCCTCTGAGGTCACTGACGTCACGAAAAGACAGATTYTTATGTACAGTCGCTGTGTGATGGGGAGATGCACAGCCCTGTCACCCTAACCACCCCACCCATCACGCAACTCCCCATCCCTGTCCATGAATGATTTAATGATCTTGCAGRGTAAAATGGTTTCCCCTGGCAGGTAAAAACAGGACGCAGGGCTTTAAGGACAGGTAATGGAGGCAGGCTTTCCCCTAAAAAATAAAATAATTAAAAAAAACTGCAGTGGGCTGGTCCTGAATGAGGACTGATATGTTCTCCCGAATCAAAAAGCAAACAATAGAAACAAAGACAAGTAATTTTTATCCAAATCCGCACATACYGAGTGCGTAGAGTCCGCGCGCTGCAGAAACTTGCTGCCGCCTGAGAGAAAAGCACTGCAATGCAGACAGTCCTGTGCGCGAGAGGYACCAACGTGCGCACCCTCTGCAGGACCGAGGCGGTTCGCCTTTTATTTAACAAACCGACGACAGAGCAGGCAGCGGTCAAAAGAAACATTTAAAACCCAAATATTCGTGTTTTGAGCCTCTGTCTCGCGTGACCGCTGCGCGCTTTGCCCTTCAAACATCCCAACATCTCAGGCCACATTATTATAGKGGATATTTCTCACTTATGTGCAACTTTTTTTTGTTCAGTAGATCAGCCAACATAAATCAGGTGAGACGCATTTATACGTTTAAATGAGCCTTTTTTTTTAAATGGCATTCTTGAAATAATAAATAAATATTTGCTTTTTTTACGGGACTTACGTGATGAGCAATGTTGAAAAGCCAAAAACAAGAGGCATGTGCTCAATATTTTGCAAGTCATCCTTCACTTTAAAAAAAAAAAATCTTCCTCGCAAAGGTGATGTTAATCAGACCGTAGATTCCTCTGCAGCATCCTCAGACCCCCCCTCTTTAAGCCCAACTTTAACTCGCGCAGCTCCAACTCCACTCCCCGGGATGTCGGGCAGCCTCCACCGGGGCGGGGACGCGCTTCGGGTTCTGGTGCTGATGCTGCGCTTCGCCGAGAACGCGCTTCTCTTCTTTTTATATCCCTTTAATTTGTCCAGTTTACATGACATTGGTGAAACGATGCTGTTTCTAACTTCGACAAGTGATGGTATGAAGCTGCCGGAGGGTTMTTGGGATTTCCTCGCGTCCCTTCCACTTGAGTCTGGATCTTCAGYGGAGACAAAATGAGAGGAAGATGCTTAACTTTTAAAGTCCGATGCAGGCTGGGAACATTTCGTCAAATGACTTAAAAGTGATGRGATGTACCTCAGTTCTGCAGTTCTGGGATGCTGAAAATATTAATCTTGGCTGCCCACTGTGGTTCCTTTTGTCCTTTGGCACAGTTTGCATGGCTTCAAACTGCAGCACAATGCATTACAGTGGTGCAGGATGGGTCAAATATCTCTCTCCAGTATTGCGGATAAAGAAATAATCCCCAAAGTAGATATCCTTTTAGGAAAAAAACAAAACCACAGAGGATCAAATCAAGCTGCAGAGTCCTGCTGTTTGCATCRTCATCCTCYTTCAGGTATCCGATCACTTTTCTAAATGTACCCAGAGCAGAAAAGTTACAGAATGAGGGTGCCAGCTGCTGAACTCAGGTCCCTTCCCCTCCTCCCACTCACACACACTCAAACACACACATAGGTGGGGACAGGAGGAGGTAAAGAGGGATTTGTTGAAACGGGTGGCACACTAACCGTAAAATAGAAAAGGCATTAGGATTAAGAAGTGGGATTATGGGGGCTGCAGTGTGCCAGTGATGATGTGAGATTGGATGCCCMGGCCAGCGTGGGATTTGCACTGTTTTCAATCAAATCAGATTTTCAGATGGTAAACTCCCTGTCACAGGCTTTTACCCTGAAACAGCCAACAGAATGAGAAAAGTGTTATGGTGTATCCACAACCAAAAACAGAAAAAAAAAAAGCAAAAAGTGGCATAAGCAAAAGTAAGTTTTGGCTTTGCACAAGGACTTATTTAAAAGAGTCAATAAAATATTGTCATTAACTTAAGCAAAGATCTTGAACAATGCAAGGCACTTATTGGACCATGTTTTATTGATTGTTAATTGACTGAGTTTAAGATTTGCATGTTTTCTAAGATCCACTGAGTGTGGCAGCCATCTTGAATCAGGCTGACTTCAGACATTAATCATTTGTAGAAACACATGCAATAATTACTTTTTGAAAATGTCATGAAAATCTATCCTGTGATTCACAAGATATTTTACTAACAGATAAACCCATAAACACACGGACACAGGCAAAAACATTCGAGATAACTAATATTTTACAGTTAGATTATCATGTCATTCTCATGTGAAGATATTGTTACCAGTTTCTGAGTGCATGTGATGGTGAAGGGATCAGGACTCAGACATGACTTTCAGTTTTTGGTAACCTTGTTGTTTTAAAATCCACAGGCAGTCCAGCACTCACCTTTGCACCCTTTCAAGCTGCTCATTGGATTTGAGCTGCTTGAGTTTCAAATAAAAAAAAAACTGGAAAAATGAAGCTGTTGTAAAACTTTTGACCAGCAGTGTAAATTCAAATGTTTACAGTGCAAAAGCAAAAACAGAAGAACACCTAAGATTTTGTTTGGTTTCTGGAATTTTACATCACTTTAGATTGAAATGCYAACATCTGCACGTGTAGCTTATAGATTTGTTCAGATGGATTACCAGCTGTAGCCTGAGTGACCATAGAAACTGGTTTGGATGTGACTTTATGCCATCTGGTTTGGGTCAAACCTTGTTTATGAAATAATCAGCTCAATAGCAGTTAAAAAAAACATCTCAGACTTTTTGAAATGCAAGTTCATATTTTTGGCACAAGCACATTTTTCAATATTTACTCAAAATTAGTTCACTGGTTTATTTTATGGTGATTAAGGCTATAGAAATCATCCATACAAGCATCTTCTCACTGTTTTGTGTTTGTTAGTATATAATTTATGWCTCATATTTAATATCTGTCTTTCTCTTCTATGGGAAACAAAATAACTTTTGCAGACTGATTGTTTGACTTATGAAGATTATATTAAAATGTTCACTTTAATAAAACTATTTAATGTGAATTTACAACAAAAATCATCTCAGGGTGAAAATAATAATGAGACCAAATCACAAATCCAGTTCAGACCTACGAGTTAAGCCATTCTTTTTATAATGCATTATGCTCACGTACAATACAGCATGAAATGTCAATTAATGAGTTGTCTATTTAAGGTAAGGAGTCCCCGACCACCAGGTCCAAGGTCCATGATTCATAAAAAYTTGTGGATTGCTGATCTGATGAAAGCCAGCAGATTGCATCAAATCTTCACTTCACCACATCCCCATTTAGACCAAGCATACTGGCAACAGCAAAAAGGATGAATAAATCCCTTTTAACAAGAAGAAACCTGCAGCAGAACCAGCCGGCTAGGTTTGAACAATCAGGAAGGAGACTCAAACAGAAGATTTGGTCCAGGTTTCTATAGGYAGAAAAACAAAGAAACAAGTAATGAGAGCAATAATTACAAAAACAAACCTGTACAGAGAGTAATGTGATAAATATGTTCTCCAGTATTATATCTTAGTTTGTTTGCTGCTTGTTTTTGTTGCTGTTTTATAGAACAAGCAGCAGCCGGATGGACGGGGTGAAATAAAACACTACACCACTAGATGTCAGATAAAGCTCAGATTTGAATCTTTGTTTTTTTGCATGATCTCCTCTGGAGGGAACTGTGTTTCACCTCCTCTACATGCATTTAAATTTAAAATCTGAAATTCTATATTTACTTATGAAACTTAAAAAAAGACATTGAAATATTTTGATTTAAATTAAATCAATTGTGTTTATGCAAAAAGATTAGTCAATGAAATAAAACAACTCAGAAAGTCAAAGATCACCATTCYAAGCGGGTGGAAAGTTTTAAGATGCACACAAATAGATATATTTTATTAATTTTGTTTTCATGTTTGTCCATTTTTACATGGAGTCCYATTACAAAAGATAGATGTTTAAAGATGTGCTTGATTTTGTTGTCTTAAACTGTTCACAGAAGCAGAAAGGTGCGAGGTCAATTCGTCAGGAGTTTTTGTTTCTTTGAATTTGTTTTGTTTTTGTTTTTGCTTTTATCAGTGAAAGTAGATTTAATACTGGTCTTTCCACAACACCACTTAGTGTATTTTTCATAGGGGTGCTGTCTTACTCTTTGCTGATTCCCACAAACAGAAACACATCACCAGTGCTCCAACTATGGGCAAACATAAACACACTCACAAATAGGGGTCAAGCTATGGTTCTGGTCCAAAGGGTTTCTTTAAATTTCTTTTGCTGATCTGCACGGATGAATTCTATTTGTCATAAATATGGATGAAGGTCATACAACAAACAAAAGGTTTTCTTCATGTCTTTCCAAAATMTTGAACACAAAACAAAAACACATATTGCTGATGAGAGCCAGAAATTGGAGAATTCAGGATGATCTTGTTTTTGACGAGACAGCTGTTTGTGTTGTTAAAGTTGTGTATTCATGGTTGAGCTGCTGTAAGCAGAACTACCTGTTCTTTATGCTGCTGAGGTCTCACTAAACCTGCAAACAAGTCCAAGAGGAGATTTAAAAACTGGTCCTCCACTTCAATAGATGCCTCTTTAGCGTTAGCTCTGTTTGGGTCTCCTAGACAGCTGCTACAATTTGTTACACCACTTACACTACAAAGTGGACACACTGTTTAATTTAGGGCACCAAATGGAGAGAAAGTCGATGTGTTTAAACCAACCAACAACCTGAGGAGGAAAATATTCAGATCATCCTCTTTTATACCAAATTAGCTTAGCACAAAGTCTAAAAATACAGGGTAATGATTAGCATAGCCATATCAGAAGCAGCAAAATTCTCCTGCTGTATTTAATTATTTTATCATTTAGAAAAAGGAACCATTTACTATGCTGAAATATTAAAGCAGTGTTTCCCAAAGTTGGGGTCGGGACCCAAAAAGGGGCCCTGAAACATCAAGGTTGGGTCCTGAAAAGATTTTCTGAATTAATTACATTTTGCCTTAGTTGTTACAAATGAGTGAGGTTAGTATATTTAAAATGGATAAATGTAGTGTAAGAAAGTTTAGTGTTCATTAACTGAAATCGTGATGAAACCGCATCAATATTGAATAGATTAAAATGTGAAGTGAATGGACCATACAACACCAGTGACTCTGGAGTGAACGCCGCTTTATTGCTGTCTGTGCAAGCAGGAAACCAACGCTGATGAGAAACCGGAAGTCCCYGCTTATAAATACATGCTCTTCAGCATAGATATAAAGGCCTTTATAAATCTGTGCTCTTCAGTGTCTGGTACYCCCACTACTGGCCTACGGCTGAATCACAGACACTCTGAACATTAATGCTCTCTTAACGTTTATCATAATTGGTTTTATTATGTGTTATCATGATGTTCTAGGCATGCATCTAAACCTATTTTAATCAAGACATAATAGTCAAACAAAAGATCATAAGAATCAATTATTTAAAAGGAAAACTATGAATATGGTGTGGTGCTTCTAAAATCAGTTTCTAAATGACTAACTAAATTTCTTCAGTAGTATAAAAAATATTATTACTATGCCCATGTTTTGTTGACCTGATACAAATGTTTATCATCCAAAAATAGTTGGGGACACAGGTCTCTGCTTCTGTTAGTTTGTGGGTCAAAAGCTGAAAAGTTTGGGAACCACTGCTGCACTTTGGTTCCCAAAGTTGGGCTTGGGACCCAATTATAGGTCATGAAGCACCTTGGGTAATCTCCAGAAATCAATTTAAAGGGTAATAAAATAATTGCTGATGTAATATTTTCCCTATAAGTATTACAAAAACACAAAATAACTATAAATAAGTATTTATATTTGTGTACAAGCTGTTTAGATTGTCAAAAAGCCTGTGTTTTTAGGGTTATTAACGAAGTTTGTGTACRCAGACGAGTAATATTTGGGGTCAAAAGTTTTTGCCATGAATATTTTGTGGGTCAGAAGATAAAAAGTTTGGGAACCACTGCATTAAAGCCTAAATGTATGACGTCTCATTTGGTTATGTTCAACTTTTTCTCTGACAAAAACTTAGAGCTTTTGTTCAAAAATCTTGTTTTACACCTCGTGTCGATGTTGTTTTTAGCATTTTGAACTCATCTTTCCGTGTAGCTTTACTTCACAATTAAGTCTGAAAGTTGATTTARGTATGTGCTGGAGAGACATAGCAGGCTTATGACAATTCCACAAAGACGACCGCTCAGACACCTGCATCAAGTTTAAATGCCGACAACAGCTGCGGCCTGCTGGAGATGCGTGGAACTGAGACACTTTTGTTTCTAATGTTTGCTGCCAACATGAGCACACACACGCATAATTCATAGCTGCAGCCAGTGGCGCGCGCACACACACACACACACACACACACACACACCAGTAGATTGTGTTTTCCTCACACACCAAACAAGCCACAGTTATTTAGTCTGCTTTCAGTTTGTTTGCCCACTGTCTTCTCCCCTTTTGTTGCTCTGCGCCGGGCATTGTTTGAAGTGAACTGCTGACTCCTTGCAGCTGGAAAGATGATGAATGAGGATGAAAAAAGGCTGCGCCAAGTGACGACATATGAAGGTGGTCGGGTTGGGTAAACAGCAATGTATCTGCAGCAGCAGCAGATATATTTGTTGATACAGCTCATTGAAACATTTTATTTCTCAAGAAAAAGGGATTCAGTTTAAAGTAAATGTCTATTGTATAGATGTGTCTCTTTGACATGTCATAAAGTCAACAAAAATGTGAAAAGAAATGATTTGTTGTTTATTTGACAAAGATATGCTAATGGAAAGATTTGCTGGTACCCTTAAAGAGTCTATTATGTTTTTGTATTATGTAAGTAACCTTAATTAATATCACATG